GAGATGGCATATGCCTGTCATCTCAGGGCATGAGAGGCAGGGACAAGGAGATCCCTGGAGCTTGCTGGCTGGCCTGCCTGAAAAATTAAGGTAGGGAACAGTAGTTAGAATGTATCTACTTGTGCGCAAACACACATGAGCAACTACACACTTCCAAACATGTACGCACAGGCGTGCAAAAGAAAGAACTATTTTGGAATTTATTTGCGTGACAAAAATCTCTACTATTAATTTATTAAAAACCCCTTTCCCACTCTTTTTCTCATTTTAAGCAACAGAGCAATCCACTGATATAGTTACTCATTATGGCCGTTTTATAAAAAGCACTCAGAGGGGCTGTTATTCCTGGCACATGGAAGGAACGGAAACCCCAACAATTCTGCTCCAAGCCCAGTGCTGTCTTCCTTCAGCTGCATGGCCCAGCCTCTCTGGGCGCCATCCTCTCCTAAACCGCCATAATAGGCTTCCCTGTGCCGAGGCAAGCTGAGGGAAGCTGTCCTGGAAACTCATCGGTGTTTGTAGAGGGAATCCCTCCGTGCAATTAGTCTTGGCTGTGTTTGCCTTAGTACATGCTAATGTTTCGAGAGATACACTTAAGGCTCGTGGCTCTTCTTCCTTCCATAGCAAACGCCTTTGGGTTTCCCCATATATAAACGGTGATTTAAGCATCTTCCCAGTTCCTAAAGAGCAAACCCTGTCAGAGGCTTTATCTTCAAAGTCATACTTTCCAGGGACACCAGAACCCAGACCTTCTGTCCCGTCTCATGGCATGTCCACTGGACATCAGTAGGTGGATGCCTGCCAGCATGGAAATTATGGCTTTGGAAGGAAAGGGGCTGGAGGAATGTGGCTGGCTCCCGGCCTCTTCTTTTCCCATTCTACTGGAAGGTTGTGTTCAGTGCAGCTTTGAAACCAAAAATAAATCATTGTAATCCGTTTGCTCATTATACCACGTGAAGCTCTAGATGCCGTGAATCACAGCTGCAATGTATCGAGATGAAGTTTGGGGAGTTTATTTTTAGTGATACCCAAAGCACTTGGCTTCCTGGAGGCTTCATTTGCCACTCTGGGAGGGGACAGGGAGCTTCATGGACACTGCCCTCTTGTCCCCCTGCTGCGCCTCTGTGAGAGGAGTTGGCCATCGTGACTCTGCCTGAAGCCCTTTCTACTTTCCAAGTGCTGACTCTGATCTTTTGATTATGGGAACGGGGATGTGTCTGAATGTAGGACTTCCAATGCTTGGTTCACCTGGAGGGGGTTAACAGCCAGCTCACTGCCGTGTTTGTGAGCCACAGTGTGTGGGTTCTCAGTAGTTTCATGCCCAGAGCAAACATCCTCCCCGTTTGATTTGGGATCCTCATGACTTTGGATGGATTTGGTCCTTCGGTAGTGCCCCCCGTTTCCATTTTCATCCCCCTGAGACTCACATTTGGTGGTTTTTGGAGACCAATGCCATCTTGTTCCAGTCACTTGCTGATATTTGCGTGCCAAACTCTAGGTCTGGTTCTGAATGCACCAAGAATGAATTGAACGCACCTCTGAGCCTCGGGAGGGGAGGGCTGGCGTTCGTGATGGATGATGGAATGCCCAGTGTGATTTAGCCATCAAAGACACCCTGAGTGAAAGCTAGTTCATTTACACCTCTTAGGGTAGGAGAAGTCAAATCTCTCAAGAATGAGGAGGCGTTTGAGAGTGGCTTGATGTGTAAATAGGATTTTTAATGTGGCGATTGGGTAAGGAAATTGACAAGACTTGGTTTAGCAACCTTGGCAACTGTCCTGGCCAAATCATGTGAATGGTATCTATGCCCAAGTGCTGAGCAGATCTCCTCCCTTACCCAAGCACTACGACTTCTAGTAAAATCCTTTCCATTTGAACAAAGGATGGCTGGGTCATCACTTGATGCTCTTCTCAAGGGCCCTGTCTCAAACCTCAGCATCCACTTGCAACACACAACCATCTGTGACTCCGGTTTTATAGGAGCCCATGCCTTCTTCTTACCTCCGTGGGTCCCAGACATGCATGTGGTAACATACAGGCAAAACACTCATATCCATAAAACAAATGAATAAAATAAAGAACAACAATCAAAAGGAGGAGAAAGAGGAGGAGGAGGGGGAGGAGGGGGAGGAGGAGCAGGAGCAAGAGGAGGAGAAGAAGAAGAGAAGAAGAAGAAGAAGAAGAAGAAGAAGAAGAAGAAGAAGAAGAAGAAGAAGAAGAAGAAGAAGAAATTTTCTGAGAACAAATTCCTTTTCCTTTGTTTGGCTGCTTCTAGTACGTAGACTACTTTTGGGGGAAAAAAAAACAAAGAAACTTCTGCTCTGTCTGTGCAATTCCTGGGGAAGAGAGGGCCCAATGGGTAGCTTGGTGTGCAGATTTTTTACAATGGGGGATGGGAATAGTTTCCTTGACTAGTCTTGGCAAGAGCAATGAGGAAGGACATAGGAGCAGAGCCTGGACCAAGGAGTGGTTTGTAGACCAGAGGCCTTCTAATGGAGGCAGGGAAAGGAGAAGGTGGGAAGGGGGTGGCGGGAGGGGGGGCGAGGATGCATAGTACTGGGGCAGGGAGGGGGAGAGCGGTAGTAATCCCAGAGACCAAGAGCTAGGAGGGGAACAGAAGTGAGAACCCCTGCAGCTGACCCCACATGATGTAGATTAGATGGAACTGGAGCTTGACGCCTAATCTGCCAGGTCTCAGCTGAGCGGTCCTAGGAGTTTATAAAACTTTTCTAGGCTTCTCTTTCCTCATCTGGAAAATATAAATAGTAACATCTACTTCTGGTGGTTATTGTATGGAGAGAAACAAAACAGTGTTAGACACATAACCGGCATGGACGTGGTGTGTATGTAATTAACAGCGCTCTAGGGCCATTGTTTTTTCTTAAATGATTCTAATGAAGTTATGGAAATTCGAATTCAAGCTGCAGGAGATTTCTTAGAAGAGAAAAAGGGCTGGGGAGAGCTGGTGGCATAAATGCTGAGGCAGGACAGTTTCCGGAAGGGTGGCTGGCTCCTGCCGAAGATGACTCAGAGACGCCACCGTGAATTGATAATTTGCAGTGACATCATCGCGATCCTGATGAGATTGTTCCTAGGGTGAGAGCCGCACCACTGTGATCTGTGAAGAGCGTAGGTGTAGAAGAGAGATACAGACAGCTCTTTCAGCTAAGCTCCGGGAAGAAAAGAGCATGGGACGGGGGAGGGGACAAGGTCACGGGAAGGTGCTTGCTGAGGGAAGAGTGTTGAAACTCAGTCAATTCAGGGCTTCTCTGCTTGCCACCCACTACCTAACCCCAGCCCGGCTCCAGAATTACACCTGCCAAGGAGAGTGTCTCTCTGAATTTACCTCCTGGAGTGGTCTATTAAAACCTTGTCAGAATGCAATCTTGTAAGGAAACGGGTTCAAAATGAGGTTAGCCTTGGAGGTGATCAGGAAGGCGGATCTCGAGGACAGTGAGTGAGAAGATGTAACGGAACCGGGCAAGGAGTGACAGAAGGAAGCAGTGAAGAGGTCTGGGTTCCAGTACTCGGCAGAGAGACTAACCGTATTGTCCCACGTCACCAGCTTCATTGGCAGTACCCTACCCCCTACTTCTCTGAGCAACACCACGACTTCGCTTCAGACCCCATGACAGATGTGGTCATTATTTAGAAAATCCGAGTGCTTGGCGAGCCCAAGATGCTGCTGGCAATATTATTATCAACAAAAGCTAGCCCCACCTGGACTGCTTTCTCCTGTGTTCCTTGCGCTTCCTTTTGTCTTCTTGTTTGTTTTGTTGTTGTTATTGTCTGTTGATTTATTGTCACCAGAACTGGAAGTCATTATTACCTTTAAGAGGGAGTTACGTGTGTTGCTCACAGTCTCTTTCCAGGGTAAGGAAATAGAAATGCAGAGAGGGCTTCTGAGTGGGTCTGCGGCCAGAGTGCTCGCCCAGCATGCACAAAGTTTATGTCCCACTTAGCACTCTAGAGGTGGAGGCAGGAAGAACAGGTGTTAAAGGTCATCTTTAACTACGTAGTGGGTTTGAGGCCAGCCTGGGCTGCATGAGGCCCTGGGTGGGAGGGAGGGAAGGAGGGAGAAAGAAGGAAAGAAGATAGAAAGGCAGGAAGGAAAAAAGAAGCTGGCCTGAGGTCACACCAGAAAATGCATAAACATTCTAAGCATACGTGAAACATTTACCAAAGTTGACTACATTTTCGTTCATAAACCATTTCCCAATAAATTTCAAGGAATCTGAATCCTACAGAACACATTCTCTCACCACAATGCAATTAAGCTAAAAGCCGATAACAGGAAAATGAGGGGTTTCTAAAAACAAAACAAAAACTGTATTGAGAGATTTTTACAGACATACTACTAAGTCGCTCATGGGTCAAAAAGAAATGACAGTAGAAATTATAAAACAGTTATAAATGAGCAATCAAGGAAATATTAAATATCAAAAGTTGTGGAACACAGCCAAAACAACACTTAGAGGGGAATTTATGGTCGTCGGTGCTTATATTAGAAAGAGAAAAGGACTAAAAATTAATGAATGGTCTATGTGTCCAATTTAAGCACAACGGCGGTCATAAATCAGCCAGCTCAGAGCTGAGGGTAGCAACAGAGTCAGGGCTCTGGCCATAGACACAGCTGGCCCAGCATCCCTCCTTCATACTGGGTACCGCAGATGTGGCCTCAGCACTGTTTCTCACGGTACACTCAGAGCCTCCCACAGAGTTGAAAAGTCGAGCCTCCAGGGCATCTCTCTGTACCAAAGTGTGGCAAAGGCCCTTGTCTGTCCATCCTTCTGGTTCATTCGTTCCACCTAGGTGGACTGAACACTTGCTCAGACAGGACATTGCCTTGGCTTAGGGCTACTGCAGCGCTGTGGCTTCCCCAGTCCAGCCCTCCCCTTCTCTCCCGTGCCACCCCTAAGCTTCCAGCATCTTCCCTGACACTTGTAAGAACAGAGATCCACATCAACAATGGCTGATTTCTCTCTTGTCTTTTCCAACAGGTAGACTGAAATTACCATGTGTCCAAATTAAAATTGCGTACTTCAAGGACTCTTTGAAGGACTATTCTTAGACCCTCTTAAGAAGATTTTTTAAAAAGTGAGTCTTTTTTCTTCCACTTCAGAGTATTCATGACTTAATGTTACCAGGGCTCCCCCACCCCCACCCTGCCTCTTCAATATGCACTAATAGGAGGTAACTTCGTCTCCATTTACTTTATAATAAAGGTTTTTTTTCCTCCCTAAGAACAATGAGCAGGGAATATGCCTTTATATTGCTGTTGGGATTTGCACATATTTCACAGGCTTATGGAATTTCAGAGATGAAAGGGTATCAGAAGTGCGGAGCCTTTCTTGCTGTCTGTCAGAGATTCCCAGGGACACCTGGGTTGGACCTGGAGAACCCCGGGAAGTACTGGGGAAGCCGGTGTCTGTCCATGCTCAAACCTTTTAGGGAGTTCTCTCAATCAGAAACCCGCACCTCCTCCTCCCCTCCAGCCTCCCCTTCCCTGCTAGACCATCCTAACCATGGCTGTGCACCAAGAGCACAGGCCCCTCCCCCAGAATTTTTTTAATTCTTTGTTCCTCTAGTAATTCCACATAGTTTCATTTCCAGGGCCCATCCTGCTGGGCTCATCTTCCCAACCCAGCAAATGTTGCCGCCTTAAGAATGGAGCCAGGCCTAGAACACAGACCTAAGGGCACTGCAGGGCAGGCTGGTGGGTGGGAGGGGCAGTGCAGAGGCAAGCCTAGGTTCTCCTTCAGGTTTTGTTCATGCTGAGTCAGCAGGAAAGAGGCTGTGTTATTCTGAGCTGAGGGAGAAGGAGAGGATGGGACGAGATGAGCCCACAGGTGCTCCCTCCATCCATATGGTTTTGCTGACTCACAATAAGGAAGTGGCTGCTTCCAGCAGTCTTGGGCATTGGAGTGAGTCAGAATTTGCTGGGCAGTGGGACCTAGGTTCAACCCTGGCTTTTAGGAATTGTAGACTGTGCACGTGGTTATACATGTCACTTCTCATCTGTAAATGTCTAACTCTTCACTTGGGAAACGGGGATGCTAATGCCTGTCGGAATGGTCTCGGTGACAACGCAATGGGACAATGTAGATGTGGTACTTCGTCCTTAGTCCCTAGGAGATTCGCAATCAATGGGAGTCCTTGTATTTGTTAACTAGGGATGGAATTACTTATCAGAGAGGACAAGAAGTAGTGGTGGCAATAATAAAAAAGGAATAAGAAGATGCAGCCTGCTTGTTGGGCATGAAGGAGAAATGTTAGTACCTGATAAACTCCCATGCAAGCATCACCCCAGTCAAGAAAGTGGATGCAGTTAAAACGCAGAATCTCATAAGGATAGATTGATTGTTATGGAAACACACTTTTGAAAAGGGGGAAAAAGATGTTGGGTTCCAGAGCTGTATAAAGTCTCCTACCCCACAGCCAGGGTCACAGCTCTAGTCAGAGGCAGTAAGAACTCATGTCCCTGGAACGAGGAGTGTTGAACTAAGGAGTGGCTGGCTGTGTCCCCGGCACCCGGCCGCCCCCAGGGCTAGCTTTACCTGAAATAATTAGACGGAAACTGTGTTCTTTTAAACCCCGCTTGGCCCATTATATCTAGCCTTTTCTCGGCTAACTCTCACACCTGGACTAGCCCATTTCTAATAATGTATGTAGCCCACTGATGTGGGAGTGATTTCTTATTAATAAAGAAACTGCCTAGACCCATTTGATAGGCCAACCCTTAGGTAGGCGGAGTAAACAGAATGGAATGCTGGGAGAAAGAAGCTGAGTCAGGGAGTCACCATGGTTCTCCCACTCCAGACAGACACAGGTTAAGATCTTTCCTGGTAAGCCAGCTCATGGGCTACACAGATTAATAGAAATGGGTTAGATCAATATGTAAGAGCTAGCCAATAAGAAACTGAAACTAATGGGTCAGACAGTGTTTAAAAGAATACAGTTTCTGTATAATTATTTCGGGTAAAGCTAGCCATGCGGGCGGCCGCGTGCCAGGGACGCAGCCCTGCCGCTTGTAACACAACAGCCCACGAGCTGGCTTACCAGGAATGATCTTAACCTGCATCTGTCTGGAGTGGGAGAACCATGGCGACTCACTGACTCAGCTTCTTTCTCCCAGCCTTCTGTTCTGTTTTCTCCACCCACCTAAGGGTGGGCCTATCAAATGGGCCTAGCAGTTTCTTTATTGCTTAACCAATGAAATCAACAGATTGATATATGACACTCCCACATCAGAGGAGTCTAGACTGGCTGATCAGGGGCCATGCAAAGCATCCCGTACTCATGTCTGCTTAGAAGGCTGGGAGCACCAGGTGTGGTACTGGATGGGAGCGGGAGCTGTACGCTGTGAAATGCCCTACACTTTGTGGTCTTTCATTATCCACGTGTTAGGGACTCCCAAACACTTCCAAAGCAGCGCCAGGTAAAATTCAGATGAGTGTGTGATGAGCCGCTCAAGGGCGGCCCACACACTGTTGAGGAAAACAGAAGTATGTGTATGTATACACATGCATGTCTGTGTGTGTGCACGTGTTTATGCATGTGCCTCTGTGTGTACGCACAGGGGTATGTATGTGTCTGTGATTACCTCCAGCCCTTTTTGCATAACCAAGGCTGTACAAAGTGTCTGGGTCCCACCAAGAAGTATAACCCAGGCCGTGAAGTCAGTCAACCTGACTCTATAGCCGACTCTATCAGCTGACTAGCTCCATTACCTTGGGTTAAATAGCATCACCGTGTTTGACAAGAGTGGCATTGCCCCTACCTTCCTGAAGCCTCGAGTCTGTGGAGAAAGCTACTTTGAAGAGTTGGGACACGGGTGCTTAGAATGAGCCCTCAACTAAGGAAACGCTCTAGATGTTGTAAAGCCAGGGTCTTGTTGCCATTGGCTGATGACTGAATTAAGGGGGTGTGGTGTAGACGGACATGATAGAGTAGTCCCACCCCAGTCAGAACTGTGTATAATAAATGGTTCTTTATTTAGGGGTAGACTTACAGATCACAGTCCTCTGCATGAGCAGGTAACAAGAACCAAATCCAACAGCCAAGAAAGAGAGCCAGCACGTGCATTTTTTTAGCACCCAAGGCCACGCCCAACCTGGTCCAACATCTCAAAGGCCATTGGCTAAAGGAGTTCCCCCAACAGCATGGTCCTTACCTGTTGATATAGAGGGCCTCTGGAATAGCGTGGATCCTCAGGACTATTTTCTGAGTGTTTAGCTACCTCGGGGAATGACAAGCCATATGGTTACTCTATCCTTTCTCTGATGGACTGTCCCACAGCCTGTTCATCCCCAACGTCCTTTCCCTCAGTCTGGACTGAGGGGCTGGCAGACCTGAGTTTCAGGAGAATTGGATATTTTTGTCATTTAAGGCAGAAAATGGATCTGTTAGTTGTTAACTAAATAAGACTAAGATCCTGGCCTCTGCTTTCCGGACAGCTACTGGCTGCTGGCATGGAAATGTTCTGACTGCCATAGAGCCAGCCATGCCTTTAGAAGAGATCCGGACCCATGGAAGCTATACAACCAATCTGAAACTCTTTCCAAATTGTAGGCGGTCCATTTTCAAGTCATGAAATTAATTTGGTGGCACAAGACCATCATTTAATTTTAATTAAATAGAGTAACCCATTAGCCCATAGAGAAGATGAGACTATTTTCATTGTATGTATTTAATTATTTTTGTTTTGCTGAAATGGGGTCTCTTTGTTGTCCAGGCTAGCCTGGAACCTGTGATGCTCCTGTCTTAGCCTTCCCTCCCAAAGGTTTTGATTACAGGCTCACCCCACCATGCTTGACTCTTTAACAGAGATTCCTTATCCGAAATAAAGAAAGGATCACCAGGAAAGAATCAGCTCTTCAGAGAAGTCAGTAAGGAAAAGATAAACAGCTCTTAAAAATGGGTAAAAGATACTTCTGAAAAAAGACTGGCAAAGCAGCCAATAAAGATGAGGAAACATCACTAATATTGAGAAAACGATACGGGGGAACCACCATGAAATGCCACCACCACCATGCTTCCATTAGAAAGACTCAGATGGAAGAGATGGACTTTATCTAATGTTGGTGGCCATGGAATGCCACAGAAATGCATTCACGTTGGTTGAGTTGAATTGGTGTGCTGACTTTGGAACACCATTCAGCAGGACCAAACACTGAGGACATGGGTGTGCAAGCTGTTCCTCTCTTTGGGCTATACCCATGATGCGTGTACCTGGGTGCATATAGTATAAAAATCACAAGTTGCACGTAAGTGTGTCAAGCCCATGCCAAACCCAGCCTTGAATGGACAAAATGCAGTCTCTTCCCACAATGGGGCAGCTTGTCCAGCAGCGCTAATGACCCCCACAAACATAAACCTAAAAGACAGAAGCCAGACGCAGAACTTTAAGATTCCCTTTCATAAAGTGCAAAAAGCAGGCAAGACAAATCCGTGCTGTAGGCGTCTGGGGAATGATTACCCTTAGGGGAGGATCTGGGGTTTGGGAGAGAATGGGAAATGGCTTCCAAGGCACTAATGCTGTCCTGTCCTTTGATCTGAGGGCTGCTTACAAGAGGAGTTTTTTTTCTTTTCTTTTCTCTCCCTTTGGCACTAAGGATTGAGTTAAGGTCCTCACGCCTCATACCACAGTAACAAAATGTACTGTATGCTACTGAGATCTATACCCAGCCCTCAATTTGAAAGTGGGGATGTAAGGGGGAGAAAGAGAATGAAACTAAGTTGCCATCTGGCCTGTTGATGACTTTGGAGTGAGGTTGACTTCCTGTCCTTGGGCCTCAACCTCTTGAGTAGCAGCTGGGTTGATGCGCCTGCGTCATGGCTGGACCCGGCTTCCATTTGATGCAGTTTCCCCTGCTGCTGCGTTCTGATGGGTTCCCTCCGCCGCACTTACGTCACGCTTTAATAAACAAATGCAGGTACAGTAATGGAGGTACCATGGTGGGTCATAAAGATTGGCATTGCTTGATAACACAGCAGATTGGTAGGTACCTTGCCTTACGTGTGTCCACAGGTTTGGGTATTTCCTACTCTGTACTTCTTGCCATGGGTCACAGGCAGGGAGTGAGAGCTACCAATGT